ACCATTCTTAACATGTACTTGCTCCTAGATTATTATTACTAATGAACTTCAGTGATCCATTACCTAGTTTAGGTCGCAGTTTTTTCCTCCCAGATTATAACAGTAAAGAGTGTTGACGGTGTACTTTATATTTAGCTAGGATTTTACACTAAAATAATCATTTTTCCACAAACAATTCTTAAAATGTATGCATGCACAAGCAACAAAGTTGTTTATACTTTAAGGACACTTAGATTTTCCTAACCTTGTGCAAAAAACAATGGATGTTGGGAACTTTTGCATAAAAACTAAGTGAATTCATCCCTCTTAAAATCAATAGAAAAGAGGACAGATTTATTTAAAAGTACTATTGTATAACACCCTTGCTGATAGTATTTTCTGTTTAAGTTTTCAAATGTCTGACACAACATAAAAAAAATTAAAGTATTGTTGGATTTTAACCTTCTCTTAATTACAATATACTATTTTTCTTTTGACAAGTACCTTGAAAGAGTTGAGAAAAAAAGGTTGATAAAACATTTTAGAGGATTTGTAAATATAAATACAATGTTTTTGTAATTATTGTTGACAATATTTTGTATGAAGATTTTGTGTGTACACACACAAAACAATTGTATGAACAATAAAGAGAAAAACCTATTTGATATTTATTCATATTGGTTGCCAAAAGTTAAATTAATTCAATTTGAAATAAAATATTACTTATTTTAAGTTTAAACTATCACAGAAATGCATTTTTTAACACAGTGGTAGCTATTTATTTAAGGTGTCAACATGTTGACAGTGTGACTGACAAAAGGAAATTTATCTAATGTTTTTCTATGATGTATATATCTGTAAAAAATACTTGAGGAATATAATGTGAGCATGCTTTTCATATAATTTTTAACTTCTCAGTAATCTTAAAAATTTATTATAGTTATTGCACATATTTTCTGATAATGTCATCTATGGATGGCTGTATTTACAAGAATCAGCTCATTTATACACAAAGATTTTCAAAATACTTTTTAAAATATTGGTGGGGGGTAAACGATGAACTGTATTAAGCTTTACCATTTATGATTACTAAATATAGTTTTTACTTTATAATATCAGCTAATCTCTACAAAGGAAGACAGAATTTTAAGATTTAAAACTTTATAAATTATTATGACGAAAATTTAAAAAAATTCTTGTAAAAACATTCATTAAAAATTTTTTTTAAGACAATAGTACCCATAATATATCTTATTCATATAAGCCATTAAAAGCTTTTCTAATTAAATAATGTCTTAGTTTTTGATTCCAAGCAGATTTTCAGCAACGGGAGGGGGGTGGTCCTGTTTCACAAAAAGAAATTGTTTTTTAAATTCTCCAAGTTCTGCTTTTAACTAATATAAATATTAAGCTCTACAAAATTTTATTTCTTAAAATTTAAGTGTGTGTGGAGTGGGGTAACAGATGTAAAAAAAAAAAAAAAAAAAAATTTGTTCATTTTTTACTAAATTCTGATTTTTGCAAGAATTTCCAAAACAATGTTTTTTTTTTTTTTCACTACAAAAAAGATGCTAAAATTTCCTAATTCATGTTCCTCCTTCCTCTGCTGAGTCAAGAAAACAAGATTTTTAACCAAAATTTCAAAATATACAATAGTCAAAAAATACTAGTGTTTCCTCGTGATAAAACTTAGTTTCTCTTAAGTTCGGAGGCAATTTTTTTATTATGGTATGCTAATTTCTTTTAGCAAATCAGTGAAGATACCTACTATAAATGAATACTTAACAAAAAAAACCTACATTATTAATAATCACTTTTTTGAAAACTTCATAAGACATTGTCTTAATTTCCCAAATACTTAGAATAAAAAGATCTGAGGAAATCTATCTTCAAAATCAAATGAATAATTTTAAAATTTCATAAGTTCCAGCTTAACAGGTTTTTTTTGCTATTCCCACTTTTGCATTGAGAACTGAAATATATAGATGCCAATATATTCCAAAATTTATTGCAATGTTTGTTAGCTGGTAAAATTAAAAATACCCACTTATTAATATAGTCGTGTTATTTTCTTTCTAAAATAGGTACCTCCACACAACTGCTAAAAAATTAGCATACCAATATGACAAAAAGCTTCAAACTTAATGAAAAAATGTTATCATTGAAGAGGAAAGATCAAAGTATTTTTTGAACATTCAAAATTTCAATTAAAAACCTTGTTTTTCTTGCATTAATAGAGGGACTATAAATTAGCATAGAAAATTTTAGCATCCATTTTGTGCTGAAAGATACACTAATTTAGAAATTCTTGCAAAAATCAAATAATTTTTGGATTTTAATGAAACTTTCAGGACTTCTTCACAAATGAATAAAATTATCTATAAATGTTTTTATTTTGTATTTTTTTTGAGTATTTTTAAAAAGAATTTTGAATTTTTTGTACATGTATAAACGTGCCAATTTTTGTATATACAGATGTTCATAGATGACGTTATCAGTAAATAAGAGTGATAACTATAGTAAATTTAAAGCCAAAATTCAATAAAACATTAGCTTACAGAAAATATTTTCTTAAAATTTTAAGATTACTGAGTACTTAAAAGGCTCTCACATGATATTCAATTATTTATGGTTAAAGCCCCCACTGAATAACATTAGATAAAATTTTGTGATCAACCTGCGAGTATAAATAAACAGCTACCTCTGATAAAAAAAAAAAACCCATTCTGCAATATTTTAAACTTACAGTAAATAATATTTGTTTCAAATCAGATTAATTATACTTTAAATCAGCTAATATTCCTCAAATAAAATTTCAGAAAAGTATATTTTATTTTCGAAGTTTTAATTATGAGAATTACAGTTTTATAATTTTGTTAAAAATGGTGATAATTCAAAAAAGTTTCAAATGAAAACTCCTTCCAATCAATTTAAATTAATTTTTTAAATACAGCATAATATTTTGGTTATTGGAAATATTAAATTTAATTAGGTACCTCAATAATTCAAAAAAAAAAAAAAAAAAAAAAAAAAAAAAAAGTCAGTATAGCATAATGATAAAAGGTACGAAACTTAAAAACAAAGTTTCATCATTAAAATGTTTATGTAATTATTAAGAAAAAAAAGAACAAAGTATTTTTTAAATATATTTTTTTTTAAATTTTTTTCCTTCTTTCTACCATGTTCTAAATTTGGGTTAGAAATCTTGTTATTTTTGTTAATTCCATAAGACTTGTGGTCATCGCTTTTTTTTAGTGTAGCAGTTTTGGGAGAAACCTATTGATTTGGAAATTCTTGCAAAAATCAAATAATTGTCTAATTTAAATGAAACTTTCAGGATTTATTAAAAAATGATTGAAGTTATTTTTGAAATTTTTATTTTTAGAGAATCTTGGTAATTTTTTTTTTTTTTTACATCTGTTACCCCCCCCCCACACCATAAATTTATTTTATGAAATTTTCTAGAATTTCAAAGAATTCACAAATTGTTTTATATTACATATAAGAAGGACTCCTTGGAGAAATTAAATAATCATTTTTTTTTTTTTCACAACTACTGCTAACTTCTTAAAAATCTGCTCCAAATCGTAAAATAAAAACTGCAATAAACTATCTAATTATGAAATTATATAGGCTTTTATTTGCTTTTATAAATAATATACATTAAGGACATTATTATCTGAAGAAAAAAATTTTTTTTGATGAACAAAGAATTTTTACAAGAATTGTTTGCATTTTTATTTTAATTATTTTCATTTTTCTTTAATTTTAAAAAATGTTTTAAAATTCTTTCATGCAGAGTATGGGGTTGGTTATTAAGTTTTTAAGTGAAGACTATATTTACTAAGCAAAAATTAAAAGCTTAATACAAATAATCTGCCAAAACTTTTTACTATAATTAAAAAGATTTTTTCTTGTGTCAAAATGTTATATTTTTTTAGTGTGATATCTCATAAGTGACATTATGGTTAAAAGGTCATGTGTTTCAAAGCTTGTCTCCTCCTTGGTCAGTTATTAAATTGAAAATTAAATTGAGATAATAAAATTATCTCATTTATCAATTTAAACAATAACTCAGTGAGATATTTTAATTATTAATACAATAATAATTTTATTAGTTATTATCTCATAATGTAATATTAATAAAATTATTTATCATTATCTTAGCTATTAAATAATGAAAGAGATAGAGGTAACTCAATAATGTAAGAAATTTTTATAGTATTTTAAATTATAAGAAACAAAAAAAACGTTATGTCACTTTTGATGCACCGTACTAAACCTGTCAACACATTCAGCCATCAAATTATCGATGGAGACGTGAAAATAACAAAACTCTGAGGTCAAGAAATGTTTGTCTAGAAAATTTTATGCTATAAGTAAGTGATTTTTGTTTCAGAACAGATTAATTTAACTTTAAATTTGCTAATTTTACGAAAGTAACATTTCAGAAATGTATATCTTATTTTAGCGGGAATTTTAAAACTGAAAAATAAGTTCATTTACATTTCACTAAAAAAAAAGTTAAAAATGCCCATTTCAATTGTTTTTTTGGAAGCATCAACTAAAAATCATTCAAATTTCTATTTGAGATACTTCACAGTATTTTTTTTCTGGAATTAGAAAATTTAATCCTTTAGCTTTCAATTGAAGCAGTTGGAAAGCTTCAAAAAGGATTTTTCCTTTATGAAAAATACATTTAAACCTTAGGTATACCGAATTTTTGAAGGTACCTAAATTTAATCTATCACCTTGAAATTAAAACTAAAATAAAAGCAAGATTTTTCATTTTGAAAAATTCATTTTAAACCTTAGGTATCATGAATCTGTAGTGGTACATTATCAAATATATTCACTTCTTTGTGAACATCTCGGAGCCTACAGTTAATTGATAATATTAGGTAAGTCATTAATTGATAATTAAATTTTACCATAGTCAATTAAAATGCAATAGATATTGAATTGATATATCAAGTGGATATCATAAGTGGAAAAAGAAAAAAGTCTTTTTTCATACTTACCATCAACCTTAGTTGAACAATGTAATACTGTTGTAACTGTGTGAGTGTATCTGATGAGGTCCACGCCATACTTCTTACTGTTTAGTGTTCTTTTGGGACTAAAAAGAAAGAAAAAAAAAAAAAAAAAGAGGTATTTTTAAAGCAAAGGACAAAATTTGATAAGCCTAAAATCTCAGGCAATCCTTTTAATTGAATTAAGGACTAGCATGTCACAATGAAAGCAATGTTTGATAAGAGTTATTGAAACAAGTTGGATAGGTGCGCGGACTAACATCAACAAGTGGGGTGGGGAATCTAAAATTAGGTCTGAAATTAAAAATATAAAAAAATAAAAATCGAAAAAGAGCAGTTGAATAAAGGTAAACAACAGAAAACTGGAAAGGTTGCGAAATAAAGATAATATTTTTTTTTTTAATTTAAATATTTCCACTTTGTTTTTAAGCGGGAAAAAATATTGATTGCTGTTACTTGCTACGAAAGTCGACTTTTTATTTTACTGACCTCGATTGTCAATCACGCATGACATGCTTACATTTAAAGAGAAAATTTCAGATCGAAAAGAGGGAAATACATTTTTTAAAATATAAAATTCAAAGATTTTAATTTCAAGTTACAGAGACTTTTTTTCTTCTAATTTGGAATATAAAAGCAATAGTAAAAATTACTCCTGCAAGGATTTAGTGCAAAATAAAGATTTTTTCAAGAACAATTATCAGTTATTTATTTTGTTAAAAATAAGTTGGCGACTAAGAAAAATGTTTAAAAAGGACATCATTTACAAGTATTTTTGAGTTTGATGAGCGATTTAAAAAGTGGAGGTAATTTGAAGTAGGCTTTTCAGTTTCTGTTTAATCGAGGACCAATTTTTGTTTTTTGTTTTAATACAAAAACCGAAATTATTAGGGTGTAATTAGAGAACGGACTTGAAACTTTTTGAAAGACTTTTGTGATCTTTTTTTTTCAGTTAGAAAAAGGTTCCGAGATTAAATAAATACTAAACAGTCATCAAGAAATTAAATTACACATTTCCAACAAGTTTTATGTCCGGATTTTACTTTATTTTTTTTTTTACACCTAGAGTCAATATCAACACATGTTGTCAAGAGAAATAATGTAACAAATAAGTTAGTTGCATTATGTAGATATTAATTTGGGATGATAATAATGACTAGGGGCGAAATGGACATTAGTAAGGGGAATAAAATAAATTAATCGTTCCTGAGGGCCTACTCCACTCCGCCATTTTTATAATCCCATTTAAAAGATATTTCTAATTTTAAGTTTTTGTCCCCCTTCGATTTACGACAGCTCAAAAACAAAAGAGCAGACTTTAAAATCAGATGACTGTAGGTAAACAAAAACAAAAGAAAGCAACAAGCAATGATTTTCAGGTAATCAAAGAAAGGACAACTAGAGATTAAATACATTAGGAAGACGGCGCCTCTTTGCTTGAAAATGGTCACAAAGTGTGCATATATACGGTGGGGGAGCTATTTGGTTTTTGGCTGGTTACACCGCTATCTTATAACTAGATAATCAAATAAAAACAGTAAGATATCCAAATCAGGTTAATTCCTGAAGGTTTAATTATATGATACTGAACGTTTGAGCATGTTCCTATTTCACGCATTTACTTATATTAAAAAAAATGAAGAGAGAAAGAAAATTTACAATAAAGCGATCCCCCATTTTATGATCACGTTATCTTCTCATCTACACTTACGTTCCGTTTTGACAGTCGTAAATCACAATGGATTCATCATCACTGCTCGAAATAAGTGTTTCCCCATTTGCATAGAAATCAATGCTATTTATTTTATCACTGTTCTCCTTGAATACTTTGGCCACGCGAAATTTACGGATGACGGTGTCATTCAACTTCATCTTCCATGTGCATCGTTTGGTGGGGCGTAAAAATGGTGGAACAAATTTTCTCTCTGTAAATTCGGGGGACAATGATGATAATAATAAAATCAACCACCAAAATAGACAGAGTTACACAATCCCGGTAACCAAAAAATTGGTCTTATTCTGCCAACAGATAAATTATGTCAGAAGTTAAAGCTAGTAGGAAAAACTGTCAAATAAAAAGGTAAAGGCTACTCGTCTTATTAATATCCAATAAGAACAAGCAAAATTAATCGGCATCAACTCGAGTGCTCCGCAGTAAATAAGTTTTAAGTTACTTCCGGTTTTAGTTTACGTGTCAATGCAAGTCATGATTTAAAGTAAACCGTTACAAAAATATTATGCTCTATATAAACAAGAAAACATTTCGGCTTTACTTTCTTCTTATTGAACTTTGGTAACGATTATTCTTTAATTCTATTCTATTTTATTTTGAGTCTTTTATGACATACAAATGATCTTTTGTAGATGTGTAAGGTTCACAAGCTGACAGTTAGTAACACTTTCAATTTTGTAAAAATTTAAAATGCAAATAATAAATTTATTTAGCCTATATAAGTAAATTTTCTAAAATATCCGTTTATTTATTTTCGCTAACCTTTTTATTTGCTGAGTGATTTTTGTTTTAATGTTTTTTTTCATAGCAAAGTACTTTTAATTGAAAGGACATAGCAAGCTGGAACCAGGAAATGGTAGAAATGTTTAATTTTTTTTTAAAAAAATATTGTTCATTTTTCGATTTACTGTATTTATTAAAGTACTATAAAAAAAAAAGAAAATGTTTATTTAAAAATTCTACTTTAAGAGTTGAACTCAAAATATTATTCGACAACGTACTTTGGAAAGAAGCAACATGAATAAAATCGATCAAGAAAAGCAACAATCAGAAAAAGAAGTTCTTGATCCAATCATTTTTTTAAATGATATTTTTATTGTGCTTTTAGCTTTTAGCGATTGATTCAAAAACATCTTCTTTTTGAATCAATCTTTATGAATATACGACGAAATAAAAAATAAAAACAGTTGCAAATACTTTTTTTTTTTTTTTTTAGTTTTTTTTACTAGAACCAAATGAAATGAAAATTTGAACTGATCCTACAAAAAAATGTAATTTATTTAAAGTATGCGTATCGTGCTCCCCACGTTAAAACGACTTTGTGTCACATCCAGCCTTGGTAGGGTGGGCGGGGAAATATAGATATATTTTTTCCAAATAAGCACTAAATCCTAACAATATTCATTTAAAAAAAAATAAAAACTTTTTTTTTTTTTTTTTTTTTTCTAGCTTTTCAATAATTTATGTATTTTTAAATTTTTTTCTTACCATCTTATTGTTTAGTTTCTATCTCTATTGAAATTCCAGAATTTAAATTTCTTTTTGCAGGAATGAAGAATAATCATTTTTAGAGTAAAAATAATGTTCTCATAAATTAAATTTTATTTAGGATTTTCTAACCATGGTTGGTCAATTAAAAATAAAACCGTTTTCTGTCACTCTAGAATTCTTTTATGGAGTAAGTGAAAAACTTTTTGTTTTTGTAACACTAGTTTTTTTTTTTTTATTCTACGTTTTGTTTTTTGTATCTTTTGAATTGCTTACATTTCATTGGTATCAGTAGTAAAGTTGAAGATCTAGTCAACAAATTTTAGAACAGTTGCTTATAAACAAAAAAAGTTGCTTTTTAAACAAATATTGTACTTTAAGACTATCAATGTTTTGGTTTGACCAGCGGTCCTCTTCAAGTCAAGTGTCTGCCGAATCGGGTAATAAATACTTCTAACTTCAGAGATTCAAACAAAACTTTATCAACTTGTTTTGTTTGTTATACGGCGCATGAGAAAGTTATTAAAACATTTATTAAAAACAACAAAATGATTTTCTTCAAAAGATCTTAATGTCCACCCTGTGTGATATTTGGATTTGCATCATTTTTTTTTTTCTTTTTCATTTGTTTGTAGCTTTCTTTTTAAAATCGGAAAATTAAAATGATCTCACTCTAGAGATTTTTACAAATATGAGTAAATGTAAAACTCCACATTTTGAAATTATACATTTTTAAAAAATGTTGACAGTTCATTTTTACTAAGTATGTTTGCAATACATCCAAAAAGTGGAAAAGTATTATCTGCAAAGAAAGTGGAATTGGCAAACCAAGTTCAAATTCTGGCCTAATCTGTTGCATTTATTTTCACACTTATGCCCTTGGGAAAGGCACAAATCAATTTCTTCTCACTTCAGTTATGGGTTAAAATAAGAGGGTAGACTGAATTTTCTAGATTGGGTGGAATCCATACTAAAAGAAGAAAAATATTGAATTCAAAAGCATAGAGAAGGCAATGGGAAGCCATTATCATTCACAAAAAATCGTGGCAATTCACAGATAATAAAGAAAAAGGCTCCATGAAGAATCCTAACATTTAGAAGAAAATAAAAAACACAAATACACACTTTTTTTTGTTTTTGTTGATATAAAGTGAACTGTTAAAGTGAATTTTTTCATTTCCTCCCTTTCTTACATATGTTTATTATTTTGAATATTTTTAGCAGAATTCTAGATTCCTTAACATACCAAGGTTCATGTTCTATTTTTTTACCTATTCAAATTATTGCAATATGTAGAAAACGTGAAAATATGCACACCAGTAAATTTATTTATTTTTTTAGGTGGGTGGAAAATATATTACAAGAAACTTCATAATTTTGTTACTTCTTTGTATAACTATACAGAACAACCATGAAATCAGACTAATCAAAAGAAATGATGGACATGCTCACAAAGTACAATCAGTTTTCACAGAAAATGTAAAGATTTATTACCCTTCCCACATAGGCAAAATGGGACCATTGCCTTAGAAAAGACACTGAAAGGCATCAGGGAATAGCTCTGAGTGTATTGGGGAAGTGCAGTTTGGAGGATTTGAATGGACCCCCTGGAACTGGATATACTAGTTATGGTGACAGAGAAATCCTGCACTTGCGAAGTTTTATTTTCATTTCAGTATAATAAAATTGAAAAGTTTAAAATGTAGTTTAATCAACCATTAGGTTAGCCAAAAGGTTTGTTCAGTTTTTTTTTTTTTTCTTAATAAATGAACAAATATTTTGGCCATCCTAATATTTAACCCCATCTCAAGCAGATTGGGTGGCTGCTATTTTAACTGCTCCTTTTGTGGCCAAGGTAGTGATTTGAAACTCCAGATATGTTACTAAAAATAGAGTCATGAAAAAACTTTTGTTGTTCGGTTATTCTAAAGGTAATTGTGAATATAGTGAATACACCTTTTGTTTTGTAATTGCTTGCTGACAAGAGAATTTTTGTAATTTAGAAAATTATATATAGTCTTACTTTTTAGCATCCCAGTACAGATACTTTATGAGTTCAGTATACAAATATTTCAAAGTACATTTGGAATTAAGTCTTTGCATTGTAAATGAAGCTATTGCATTGAAGCATTTGGTTTAGTTACATTTCAAACTCCCCGTGTTTGATGACATTACCAGTTCCAAATCCAGTGAAAATTTAAAATGAAGTATAAAAGAATAATCCTGCAAAGTTTCAAACAATTAAATCCATTATTTGGAGTCTATGGTATTTTTAAAGATGGTGACCAAAAAAAAGCTCCCCCTGGCCTTTCACAACTCCAAAATAACCTGCCTGGGATAAAGTTAAAATTTATTATTATAAAAAAAAAATTACTAATCTATTTCCTTAGTTAAAATATTAAAAGAAAAATCACCATAAAAACTAAAACAATGGATATAATATACCATTATATTATAATATTATTATATTATAGTATAATAGAATATAATTCACTATTATATTCTAGTAGATGATCTCCAAAGTAACTATAACAAATTAGGTTATCTCCCCTTGCTCGTGCTGCTAATTGAAGATTCTATTACCTACTTTTAATGGTATAACTCAGTTTTTGCAACAAATAAGATTTGGTGTGTAATTACAAATGCTAAGTTTAGAGCAGCTCAAGATATTGAAGGAGACAGACATCTTTAGCTGCCTCTGGGAAATGGTACCCAAACCAGTGATGAACAAGAAGGCCCACTTCTCAGAGAAGATATGTGTTTGAACCTTCCAGATGACCCCCCAAAACAACCAACCTTTGTTTGAATGACAGATAAGTGTAACCAACTGTTTCTAACTGAAATGTATTGGAACTGTTTGACTATACCCACTAAAAGTATTCTCTTAATTCATGTTTTGATCTATATATATATATATATATATATATATTACTATTGTATATAAAATATCTTTAAACTATTCAATTGTTCCTTCCTTGTAATCTGCCCAACTTGATGTGGAATTTGTTAAAAATTCCATATAACATTTGTTCTGTCAGGTTCTCAGATATCAAAGACTCAAACAGCCCAAATTGTTCATTTTAAGAAAAGAAAATAAGAGACAATCAATTTATGATTGTTACAATTAATTCTTGTCTTTACAAATTTGGATATTCATTATGCAAATGAAAAAATGTTTGTTTAATTAATCATGTTAGGATTTGTCACAAAAGTACTCAAATAAATTTCAAAGTTCTTCTATATTCCATAAATTTATTGTTGCTTTTAAATACTGTTTTGAGGATGCATTTTTTTGACCTGAGTAAAAGTATATGCACAAGGATTGAATAGTTTAAAGATATTTTATATACAACATACAAAGCATATATCAAGCAAAATTTGTTAAAAACAACAAGAGATTAAGACAATACTCTGAAAAATAATTTCTGGTATGAGGCATTATCATTATTTATATTATTTACATGCAGACAAATATCCTCATCTTTGTTGTTATCATTACATTTCGACCATTGTGTATTCCGGCCTTCAGGTGTCTATCAATCTGAGTAACCGTCAGGGAATTTCAAACTGAACACTATTTATTCTATAGGAATAGATTGTTCTAGTTTGGCTATTCATATCTAAGATTATCTTATTCAGTTCTGCTCAGTTA